GTGTGTGTGTTAAAGTTGAATCGAATTACTTATTATTTTTGATAGCAATGAAAAATGAATGTAGACAAGTGTTAGATAAATGTTTCACTGCACATGATTGCTGGTTATTAGCGATTCCGATACACCGAGCAATAGACACACCGAAATATAAACTATGATGTGACGTAAAATTAAAAGTTTCGAGTAGAAGATTGTTGTCCACTAATAAAAATGCATCTAGGTAATGAAATTACTTTAGTTATATGTTTATGGATAAGTGATAAACGTGTATTTCAGTTTATACAATTTGTAGAACTACAAAACTCTTAGCCATGTATGTAATATTTGGCATACAATGAGCACACACAACACACAAATTAACAAGGACCAGTCCCAGCACCATTGTTCGGCTTAAACCTAATCTATCAGTGGAAATGCTTGACTGTCAGGTAATAATGATAAGGTATAACTTCGTTCCGTAACTTACTGCTTGCCTAGAGGGCGATTCCGTAACATAAATATTTGAAAGAAGCTCTTGAAAACTTTATCGGCCAAATAACTGGTGGAGCACGAGTTCCTATGCCGTTGACTTTTTATTTATAACTTAATATATATATATATGCACAAACTGGATGAATTAATCTAGAAGAATTCAACTCTCTGTAATTAAATACAGGTTATTGTTCAAAGTAATTCGGCGCGTTACTTCACTTAATATAATATAGTTTAATTAATATAATGTAATTTTAAATGTTAGTTTTTAGCTTAGAAGACATATCTATTTGTTTCACAGTAAGCCACTGTTGTAGTATGAAGTAATGATGACAACATATATTGTTTCATTTTGCCTACAGAACTGACTACAAAAGCTTAATTCATATTCCTTAGGCCTTAAAAGAGCAGATATTTTCAAGTTAAACACACAAAACCTGTTTTCTTCATCAATCGTGTCTCTAGGGTTAAAAATAAATCAATCAAGGAATTTTCCATAGCATAACTAGTTTGACGTTTTTTAACTCCTCGTGATATTTATATAACAATATTCAGAAGGCCCACAGAGGGCGTGTTGTGCAAAAGAAGGTCATAAATAACGTTTCTAGTTCATATTACAGAAGTATAACCTTAAATCAGATATCAGATATCAATCAGATATCAATCGTTGTCGTGATTGTTTAGTCTATATGATCACTTAAGTCTAATTATTAATTAATAACTTTGTTTTATTACTATTTCTTTATTTACTATAACTAAATAGTAATCACAACTTAGATTGTAGTCCTACGTTTCGGTTGCTAATATGCTGCTGTCCTCAAGAAATCCTGAGAAGGAGTATTATCTGTGTTGGTAGCGGCAGGCAATTTATCCCGAGTCTTTTTGATAGAAGTCTGGTACATAACCGCCAACATTTTGTTAACCACATAAACTTTGAAACATGTTCAGCGATATCCTTGAGCCATTAGATATTACCTATCATCTTCAGAGCAATCCTAGTTAAACTTGTTGACTGTAGAACTTCATAGATAATACACTTATAGTATGGGAAAGCCTGTGCCTTTACTTCCTGAACTTTCATGAAGATTTATGAAAGTTTGGTTGAGAGCTAAACCATTCTTGATTGCACATGGAGAAATAGGTGATGCGTTAATTTCCTTTTAGGAGGAAACTTTCACGTAGACGAACAACTTGCTTACATTATTAGCTTAGGTACCCGCTGTTAATTGGTTCCTGCTAGCAATAAAGCAAAGCGTTATCAGCAGACAGACTTTTCCATTAAACTTTCCATTACTTAGAAGAAGCCATTCCTTTCTGATGGTTAAGTTCCAATAATGATCCCATTAAAATTGCTCGGTTGCACATGTCTTACAAAAGTAGTTTAGTATAAAGGCAGCGCTGTAAATTAATTCAATTTTAAAGTACAAGGTTTGCAGGTTAAGTGTATGGTGTAAATGTTGATTGAAGTCACTTGAAATAGTGTTATTTGGAGTTTGTGAGAAAAGATGAACTTTTTCACACAACCTGTACTGCACACTTAATGTCGTACAAAATAAGCTTAGGTGTGTAATTTTTTGTTGTATTAAACCCCCCCCCCCCAAATATGCTATAGTTTTTAAGCACTATATAGTTTTTATAACTGATTTTGTTTTACGTTCCGTTTCGATTTCTTTGTATGCTGTTGAGCGTAAGTCTGCACAGTGATATAACTTTGATGGAAGTAATGAAGGAATCTAACCCCAAAATTTACAGTTATAAGCCGTGAGGTATATCGTTGAGCCGCCCGAGACATTTCGTTTCGACTAAATATATACGTATTTTACAAACGGAATGTATCGCACTCTGAAAAAGTTTAATATTTTACAGAAAAACACATTCTTTTTTGAAAAATGCAGTTTTGCCCATTAATGAAGCTGAATTAGTAATAATAATAATAATAATAATAATACGTAAAATATTCAAGAATAATTCAGAATTT